AATAGACATAGTACCAATAATTGTTTACCCAAAAATCCCTAAGTGGTAAACACCACCTTGGCCTGTTGGCCAATATTGAAGGCAATAAGTGCCCTTTTTAGCCATCCATTATGATCCATATACTGTTATTGTTAGTGGGCTAATTGCAACATAAAAAAGAACACTTCAAAAAGACAAAAAAGTTGAAAAAATCAAAAAAATCAAATAAATCAAAAAAATCATGAAAAAATAAAAAAAATCATTGATTTTTGATTTTTTTGATTTTTTTAAAAAAATAAAAAAAATCGCCAACCCTGGGGTTAAGTGAATTTACCATAAAAAAAGATTGTAAAAAACATACCTGAAACAGAAAGGAATGTTTTAATGACAACCATCATATGTTTTGCAGAAATAAATCATAGTTTCGGTCAATTGCTTTTCATTCTATGACGCCTGGTGCACAATTCTATATGTGACATTCTATGCACAATTTTGTGATGACCGATGATGCACTAATTTTTTGATAAGTGAAATTTTTTTTGCCGAGCAAGGTAAATGTAATCAATATTCTTTGTATTTAATCTATTTTTTCCTTAACTGGAGCCTTTGCTTACTGAGGTTCTACTGTATATGCATTTTTGGGGGTGTCCTGAATAGCCCCAGAGGGGTGTCCCGAGTAGCCCCGCCGTGCAGAAATTCTTTGGATTGAGGTATGTAAATTCTGCAAATAAAGTTATAAGCCAACACCTGGGTGCAACTTTTATGTAAGTAAAATTTTTTAATACAGCAAATATTTTTTTTACAACAGACCTTAGCAGAAGTAACTTTTTAAAATAGCATTTTTCACCATTTTTTTTCAGGAATTTTTCAAAGCTAGTAAATGTAGTACTTTTTTGACTTTCTTTATACTACATAGATAGGAAAAATGTTGACGTTTATGCCACTATATTTAGTTTTGCAATATTCCAATTAGTTTTGCTACTTAAACAGTTTTATGCCGTGTTGGAGGACTGTCCCAAGTTACCTTGCCAGTCCCGAGTAGCCCCGGTTGATGGTAGCCAAATTATAATTTACTTACCAAGTATAGGTATATGATAAGAGAGATACCGGTACTTTAAAGTTTCTTCATGTTAACAGCATTGAATATTAGCCAATACATACCTTTTCAATAGTTTTTATGCATTTAATGACTTGAAACCTGACTGCAATACATACTTTATTTATTTTGAAAAATTCAAATTTCTTATTGGTTCAACTATTGTTGTTGGTGATGCTGTCTTTTGTTTACTTAGTGCATGCCTGGGTGGTTGTGTCTTGTGAGAGGTGGTGCTAGTGTCATGTAGTGAGCTGTGGAATGGTAAAAAATTTCAAAATACTATGTTCTTTTAAATTAACTATCGAATTGTACTGTGGAGGCATCATTATAGCCAGCTAATGTTTAAGCTTCAACATGGTCTTCGTTTGAAACATCATCCAGCATCACCCAATGGTCCTATGAGTCTAAGACTAAAAGGCTCAGGGCTGGAAAAGTCCTATTTTTTCTGAAATATCATGGCTATCCATAGGTAAGAAACATTGTGGCTCTAAGGTTATGTATTTTATTTGATTGAAAAAAAATCACGGTTTGCACTTTGCAAACAGTCGTTTCAACATCCAAAATATTTCCATGAAGATCATGTAGTTGCAGTCACGTCAGAGCGGGTTAGAGAGTTAGTGTTGTTGCTTAATGACTGTTTTTAGAGTAAAATTAGAGATTTGGGGGAAACACATGCACGGGACTTTGAAAATAAGTTTGCGGCTTATAAATGACTTTTCATGGCCGAAATATAGAATCCTCAGCTTGAAGAAATGGAATCTTGGCTCGAAGAATTGGAATCACAGCTGGCAAACCCATAACACTACAGCTCGAAAAATCCAGTCACGGCTTGCCAAGTAGATATATTCTATGCCTGGTTCTTGGTCACACATCTGGCATACTTTACTGACTGGCTTTCAACTTTATGCTGATTTCACTCTTTTGATTGCACTGTGGGGTTAGACTTCATTACCACGTTTTTCTTGACTTCGTTTCGTGTCCGTCTGTCATCAAAAATTCAAACCTTAATTTAGAGCACTTCTAAACATCCTAGTAAGTTGAAATTTGGCATGCATGCTTATGCTGCCTAACAATTCAAGATTTGATCATCAGAAATAATAATTTAAAAAAAAAAAATTTGTAAATTTTTTTAAATAAAAAAAACACTAAAAATTCATGGTTTGGAATTAAGTTTTTTCTCAAACATCCACACTTGCCAACCCTGGAAATTGATTTGAATTGCTAAAATTGCTAACTAAAAAGTAGAAAATAAATAAATATAAAAAATATTTTTAAAAACCACGTTTTTCTGGTTTTTACATAACTAAAAATAGTGAAATAAAATAAATTAAAAAACTTTTAAAAATCACGTTTTCTTAATGGACAAAAGAGAAAAACATTTACTCTTACATAACATTTTACATAACTTAAATGTTGTGTAAGAGTAAATGTTTTTCTTTTTTGTCCGTTAAGAAAACGTGGTTTTAAAATTTTTTTTATTTATTTTATTTCATTGTTTATTTTGTGCATCCTGCAGAATTAGTGCCAATTTTTTGCAGTCTAAGCTATCTGCGGAGTTCATAACGAGCATACAAATCTATCTGAAGTCACATTTTTCCCAATTAGGGCACTCAGCAATTTGTTCAATAACAGTTAATTAATCTAGGCATATTGCCATTGGCATCTGACTCAAACATGATGCCACCCTCCCCCTTTACCCTTACACTGCTCAGACGTGTTCGCAACTACACAACCTATAAGGAAACGGTTGACTTGTAGTTGTTAAATTGTGCAGGATATTTTGGCAGGATTGTTGAAGTAGTGCAGATTGCGGAAGTTGAAAATTTTATGAAACAACATGTCTGCGAACTGCGGAGTGCAAACCAAGATTTTTTCAAGCAAACAAAAATACATGA